GGTTTTTCACCCCAAATTTTTGGTATTTTTTGGGGAATTTTTTGGGAATTTTTGGGGGTTTTAACCTCAAATTTTTGGGAATTTTTGGGGGCTTTTTGCCCCAATTTTTGGGGGGTTTTCATCCCAATTGTTTGGGAATTTTTTGGGAATTTTTTGGGAATTTTTTGGGAATTTTTTGGGTTTCTCACCCCAATTTTTTTGATTTTTTTTTGGAATTTTTTTGGGGTTTTCACCCCAAATTTTTTTTGTAATTTTTTAGGGTGAAAACCCCAAATTTTGGGAATTTTTTGGGGGTGTAAATTTGGGGAGGGGTCTGACCTGTGAGCGGAAGTTTCCGGCACTTTCCGGAGCGGAAGCCGCAGCCGTAAACGGCGCCGGAGTCGGAGTCGCCGCGATCCAGGGGGGCCCCGACCAGGAGCCTTTTGGGGGAAATTCCGGGGAATTTGGGCAAAATAAAAATGGGAATTTTGGGGGAAATTCGGGAAAAATTAAATGGGAATTTTGGGGGAAATTTGGGAAAAATAAAAAGGGAATTTTGGGGGAAATTTGGGGGAATTTGGGAAAAATTAAAAGGGAATTTTTGGGGGAAATTCGGGGGAATTTGGGCAAAATAAAAAAGGGAATTTTGGGGGAAATTTGGGGAAAATAAAAAAGGGAATTTTGGGGGAAATTTGGGGGAATTTGGGAAAAATGAAATGGGAATTTTGGGGGGAACTTGGGCAAAATAAAAAAGGGAATTTTGGGGGAAATTTGGGAAAAATTAAATGGGAATTTTGGGGGAAATTCGGGGGAATTTGGGAAAAATTAAATGGGAATTTTTGGGGAAATTCGGGGGAATTTGGGGAAAATAAAAAAGGGAATTTTGGGGGAAATTCGGGGGAATTTGGGAAAAATTAAATGGGAATTTTGGGGGAAATTCGGGGGAATTTGGGGAAAATTAAATGGGAATTTTGGGGGAAATTCGGGGGAATTTGGGGAAAATAAAAAAGGGAATTTTTGGGAGGATTTTGGGGGAAATTTGGGGAGATTTGGGGGAAAATTTGGGGGAAATTTGGGAATAATTTGGGGAGATTTTGGGGAGATTTGGGGAAAATTTTGGGAGGATTTTGGGGGAAATTTGGAGAAAATTTGGGAAGATTTTGGGAATCTTTTGGGGAGAATTTTGGGGGAAATTTGGGAGGATTTGGGGGAAACGTGGGGAAATTTGGGAATATTTTGAGGATATTTTTGGATAATTTTGGGTGGATTTTGGGGATATTTTATTCAATTTTTGGGTGGATTTTGGGTGGATTTTGGGTGGATTTTGGTCAAGTTTTGGTCACATTTTGGGGACATTTTGGGTGGATTTAGGGGATATTTTGGTCAGATTTTGGGGATATTTTGGGTGGATTTTGGGGATTTTTTGGGTGGATTTTGGTCAGGTTTTGGTCAGGTTTTGGGTGGATTTTGGGGATATTTTGGTCAGATTTTGGGGATATTTTGGGTGGATTTTGGGTGGATTTTGGGGGTATTTTGGTCAGGTTTTGGGTGGATTTTGGGGATATTTTGGTCAGGTTTTGGGTGGATTTTGGGGGTATTTTGGTCAGATTTTGAGGATATTTTGGGGATATTTTGGGTGGATTTTGGTCAGATTTTGGTCAGGTTTTGGGGATATTTTGGTCAGATTTTGGTCAGGTTTTGGGTTGATTTTGGGGGTATTTTGGTCAGGTTTTGGGTGGATTTTGGGGCCGTTTACCATCCGTCGTCGCCGGTGCCGAACTGGGCCACGCTGGCGCCGAAAGCGCCGCCGGGGTCACCGCGGAACAGCGTCGGGGTCTCCAGGTCCAACCCGCAGGAGCTCAGCGCTGGGGGGTGGGGGAGGGGTCACCTGGGAGGGGTCACCTGAGCCCAGGTGTCCACCCCAACCCCAGTGTCCAGGGGTGGCCACAGTGTCCAGCTGTCCACCCCAACCCCAGTGTCCAGGGGTGGCCACAGTGTCCAGCTGTCCATCCCAATGTCCAGGTGTCCACCCCAGTGTCCATCTGTCCATCCCAACCCCAGTGTCCAGGGGTGGCCACAGTGTCCAGCTGTCCACCCCAGTGTCCATCTGTCCATCCCAACCCCAGTGTCCACCTGTCCCCAATGTCCAGGTGTCCACCCCAATGTCCATCTGTCCATCCCAACCCCAGTGTCCAGGTGTCCATCCCAACCCCAATGTCCGCCTGTCCATCCCCACCTGTCCCCAATGTCCACCTGTCCACCCCAGTGTCCATCCCCAGTGTCCATCTGTCCATCCCTGGTGTCCCCCGTGTCCGTCTGTCCATCCCCAGTGTCCGTGTGTCCATCCCCAGTGTCCCCAGTGTCCGTGTGTCCATCCCCAGTGTCCGTCTGTCCATCCCCAGTGTCCGTCTGTCCATCCCCAGTGTCCATGTGTCCATCCCCAGTGTCCCCGGTGTCCGTCTGTCCATTCCCAGTGTCCGTCTGTCCATCCCCAGTGTCCCCGGTGTCCGTCTGTCCATCCCCGGTGTCCATGTGTCCATCCCCAGCTGTCCATCCCCAGTGTCCATCTGTCCATCCCAACCCCAGTGTCCACCTGTCCCCAATGTCCAGGTGTCCACCCCAATGTCCAGGGGGGTCTCCAATGTCCAGGTGTCCACCCCAATGTCCATCTGTCCATCCCAACCCCAGTGTCCAGGTGTCCACCCCAGTGTCCATCTGTCCACCCCAACCCCAATGTCCAGGGGGGTCTCCAATGTCCAGGTGTCCACCCCAATGTCCATCTGTCCATCCCAACCCCAGTGTCCGGATGTGGCCACAGTGTCCAGGTGTCCACCCCAATGTCCAGGGGTGTCTCCAGTGTCCATCTGTCCACCCCAGCCCCAATGTCCAGGGGGGGCTCCAATGTCCATCTGTCCCCAATGTCCAGGTGTCCACTCCAATGTCCATCTGTCCATCCCAACCCCAGTGTCCAGGTGTCCACCCCAGTGTCCATCCGTCCACCCCAACCCCAATGTCCAGGGGGGTCTCCAATGTCCAGGTGTCCACCCCAATGTCCATCTGTCCATCCCAACCCCAGTGTCCGGATGTGGCCACAGTGTCCAGGTGTCCACCCCAATGTCCAGGGGTGTCTCCAGTGTCCATCTGTCCACCCCAGCCCCAATGTCCAGGGGGGGCTCCAATGTCCATCTGTCCCCAATGTCCAGGTGTCCACCCCAATGTCCATCTGTCC